GCTGCGAATGAAGGGGCTTGTCAAACGGGAAGTTTTTCGCAAGGCGTCATGCCCGTTTTTCAACAGTTGTTAAAGCGAGCATGCGGCAAGGCAGTATCATCTCGTTGTCTCCGTGGTGTTCCACCTTCTGTTCTGCATACTCGCTTTAAAGTAGTGGAGAACGGGGCAGGTCCCTCCATCCGCAGCGAAGAAGATTGTACATACGGTGGAAGCGGCTTCACTGATTTCTTCATATTAAGTCATGCTTTCAGCGAGGAAATGCCAGCACCATCGGTCCCGTCGGTCTCACACCATCCACAACAACCTCGTCAGATGACCGATTTTCCTGTCTATCACGAGATTGCCAGGAATCAAGGGCCGAAGATGCAAAAGGTCAGAATGGAATGAATTTCTTTCTCTTTTTACTTATCGTTGCTTCATAGTTTCTGTTGCCTTCTTTTTCGGGAAATGATCGAATAAGGCAGGTTTCGGGAGGTAAGGCTTGCTCTCATCAAAGTAGCTCATTAGGGCCGCGTTCATACACCACGACTTTGGAGAAACGATGAAGACACGGAAAAAAAGAAAACATTCATATTGATTGGAAGAAATGAAAACCCCGCGTATAATATGCGAGTACCCATGAATAGCCAACAAAGCGAAACGACAGAGAGTATAGCTAAACGAACGGCATTTTGCCGATTTTTCATTTGTCTCCAGTTTGCCACTCGTTTTCAACTCTATACGTATGCTTTCTTTTTTCCCGCAGATTCATTTTTTCGAAAGTTGTCATGTCCAACGAAACGCCTGTCGAAGATTACTTTTTTCCGCTATTGAGAATTACTGAGAGCTTTTGTTGATCTTTTTTACTTGACTTCTTTTCTTGACAAAGAAATGTGAAGTTTCAGATTAACGACTCCATAACATCATTACTCACAAAGGTACAACAAAGAGACGTGGCAGCCGCTGAGAAGATTGTGCAGTTAAGGTTAGTTTTTTCTGGATACTGCACTCTTTCAGTAAGAATAAATTCGACGAATTCTTGTGGAGCAAAACCGCTTAACTTCAAAATAGGTTCATCAATACTGTGGACCCCACTAGAAACACCTCTTTTGCGCATGTACATAGAAATCAGCGCCGATTTTGCAGCACTCTGTTAAGCAGGTCTCATAGTTTGTCACCCGTATCATAGTCTCTCAGTCGCTACTTGCGGTGCCACTTCAGAGCTTGGATGTTGTTATTCTGCTTTTGGCCGCGTTCATACTTCGCGACGCCTGCAATTTTCAAATCACGCGTATGTGGCCGACTGTGCAACTATGTGGCCGACTCTCGTGTACCGGAGGCTGAAGTACTCGTAGGAGGATGTGGTTGGCTTACAGATTCCATCGGCTAAGAATCCCCATAGGAGCATGGTCGGTTGCAGTCGCGCGTTTGGGATCCGCACGAGTCGCGAAGTATGAACGCTGCCTTACGTACAACTCTCAATAGTTCGGTCGTTTCCATTCTCCAAAGCCTCACTATTTTCACTAGAACAGTTTAATTTGTTGGATTACTCGAGTGACTCGGAATTTTCGTCGTACTTTAGCAGCGATTTATGTGAGATCTACTATGATGTGATGTTGCGAGACATCTACTTCACGTTCTCGATGAATCTTGAACAACATCTGTGGAAGCAGGCGTTTTATAAACCGATCGAAGTATTCAAATCGATGGCAAATTCACCTAAAGACAGCTCACGAATATTCCGTTCTCATTTGCTGTTGTTAATCAACAAGGTAAATTCTTTTTCATAGTACAATTCGATTTTTGTGTTTAATTATTCATTAGTTTCGATGAATGAGCACACTAAGGAACCAGTTTCTTTCTTTCCTCTCAATTGGGGGTTTTACCGGTGAAGTTTCTATTCTAGTTTTTTAGCCTGATGAGTGACGAATGGTTTTTTCCCCAAGGAAATGCATCAGAATCTTACGTCATCCTTTTCAGGGAATCAGTTTTTATGAGCGACTCATAGCACTGTATGAGAAGGAGGTAGACGTGAATGTGGAGAGAGCCGCACTCTTCCAATTCGATTCCGACGAAGACTTCTGGAACGTATGTTTGTCGCCAAACTCGCCTGATGCTGAATCGAGTAGGCGAAAGGTACGTTAGTTCCTACAGTTATTCACGATTTTTTATTTGATATCGTTCCGTAGGAAAGTAGTTACCATTTTATTGCCAATTTTCCTTCCTGCTCAAATCTGGAATTTCAGACAGCCCTGAAATCCTGTTCGCGACACCTGATCTCCTTAGGTGACCTGAAACGATATCGGACTTTAGTAGAAGGCAGTGAAGACTACAGTGAATCAAGAGCGTGAGTACATTTTTCTGGATCCTATGCTACTTATGCACATTACCCTAGTATTTCTGTTTGAAGACAGACTCAGCCATTGCATATGGTAGGTGTTCATTCCCGAACGTCTCTAAGTGACTGAACCTCATCGCTAGCAGCCACTTAGCACCCTCGTTGTATAAGTTTTCCGGACTTGCTGGCCAATTATTCTACTGCTGGGGCATCTCCTGGCTCACCTATCATTTCTGCGCGTCATCCAGTAATGAATGCCATCCAAACGAATGAGAAAAGAAAAAAGACTCAGAAAGAAGGTTGTTGCTTTCGCTTTTCCTCAAAAAAGTTAAGAAATGGCCCACGTGCCTAAGCGCAGTCAGCAGAAGTTGACATACGCTGAATCGGCATTATGGGCCGCCCGTTTCACCAACAACAGCTGTGCAAAACGACGTTAAGCTGGTGTCAGGGGAGGCGGGCCGCGCGATATTTTCCTGGTTGTCGCTTGGACCTGCAAGACGTCCAAGACGTGCAGTATGTACATCAATGCCATGTTCCAGCGAACAATGAGCGGCAGCTGCCTATCGTGACCGAGTTTATAGAACAGTAGATCTCTAACCAAATGAGAGGGACAATGACGAGAAGCATCATTGGCTTGGATAGACATATAGGTTGGTAGTGCGGCTTGTCACGTGCTGCGTACTTTGCATGTGGATGGAGCCCCAAATCGCATCTATCTCCCTTTACCCATTCCCCCCCCCCTTCCTCACCCGCCCACCCCCAATCTCAGTTCCACGCTTTTTCATGTGGCAAAGAAGACATGCGCTTGCAGCTGTGCATCCCTTCGCACATAGCAACAACTGGTTTCTCGGAACTAATCAGGGAAGTCCGCCAACTTACCATGGAACTTTGAATGGAGACCTGGGTAGATCGATAGAGTCTATAAGGTTATTTACAAATATAGATAGCAAAACTGCAACCTGCATTTCACAAGCAACTTATGAGCATAATGGTGCAGTAGGGTGGAGGCTTGGTGGTGAGCTGTGAAGCATAAGCGAGGAATCGCATACGTCGAATCGAGTCGTCGAACGTCGAACTTTACCACTGAACCACCACGACTCGATTCGACGTATGCGATTCCTCGCTTATGCTTCACAGCTCACCACCAAGCCTCCACCCTACTGCACCATTACCTGCTCATAAGTTGCTTGTGAAATGCAGGTTGCAGTTTTGCTATCTATATTTGTAAATAACCTTATAGACTCTATCGATCTACCCAGGTCTCCATTCAAAATTCCTAACTAGGGAAGGTCGTCAGGTCGAAGTGGCCATTTGTGATGAGATGTAGATCACTAGACGTGGTTTTGGACGCTGATCTTGAATCTGCCTTCAAAATTTGCAAAGCGATTCTCTGAACGGAGTTATGGAGCCGCGTTTACCACGCAACAGGTCATGGGATCGGATCCCTGCTGAGCTTAACTTTTTTGCTTGTTGCGCAAACGTGGCAAAAAGTGATTTTGCCGTCACTACTACTTCAGTTCTCACCTGAGCTTGTCTGAAGAAAAGTTTGCCTCCATTTATTACTGCGCTTGGACTCCTTGTAGAAGCACTGTAGTGCACTGTAGTCTACAAGGAGTCCAAGCGCAGTAATAAATGGAGGCAAACTTTTCTTCAGACAAGCTCAGGTGAGAACTGAAGTAGTAGTGACGGCAAAATCACTTTTTGCCACGTTTGCGCAACAAGCAAAAAAGTTAAGCTCAGCAGGGATCCGATCCCATGACCTGTTGCGTGGTAAACGCGGCTCCATAACTCCGTTCAGAGAATCGCTTTGCAAATTTTGAAGGCAGATTCAAGATCAGCGTCCAAAACCACGTCTAGTGATCTACATCTCATCACAAATGGCCACTTCGACCTGACGACCTTCCCTAGTAAGTTGAGGACTTTGGCTGGTAAGTGTGCTGTTTATTTTGAGAGAATTGCTTGTACTCGACCCCTTGTCCCGATGAGGTTGACAAAACTGCTAGTCAAAAGTCTCACACTGATGGTGGTATATATCATCAGCATTCACTCACGGCATCAGGCTTCAGTCTTCCGTTATAAGTTGAACAAAAGGGAATTGATAATGGTTCCGATGTTAAGGCTCTACTCACGATCTGCTCAGCTGTGGTCGGCATCGGGTCATTGCTACAACCAGTTGGCAGTGGTAGCATATTTCTCGGTATGTCTTCCATACATTACAGTATGCATAGATACCAGTTTTGTTTTGCATGAATTGCCGCAGTAAGCTTCCCTCTGTGGTAGAGCGGGACTCTTTTCATGGTGCGATTCAAGTCACTCGTAATGCAAGCATTATCTAATTTGTGATATTTGCAGTTTGAAACAAATTTAGCCCGTGCTGCCAGATAAGTGAGTCGCACCAATGAGAAGGGGCTCTGAGTACTATATTTAGCGAGAACTATTTAAATTACAGTAGATGCTTTCGCACTCTTTCCTGTTGTTGTTGTAAAAACCAATTTTGCAACCTTTGTTATTCTATTTCCAACTCGATGAAAAGGTTACAAAGGTTTTCTTTGAACTCCAAACTGTATGTTGCATGTTCTGCTCAAAGTCTCACGTGTTTTCTCTCTTAGGAGAATGCCCTTTTGTCTTGAAAGGTGCATTCAGATGGGAACTCTGAAGAAGAACAGTTTTCTTCTCTCAGGTTTCCCCACACCCTTTGTCAATGTGGAGATCAAATGTATTTTACTCATTGCTCAGATGTGGTTTATTCCAAACGCAATAAGCTTGACATATTTGTGGTGAAGGGACGCGTTGCGGTCAAGCGGTATCACGAGCAGTACTTTTGCGTGGAGATTTGATACCTCATCAATTTGAGCCGTTGCATCCAGGAGGGAGCCTTTCTTGTGTTCCAATTAGATCTTCTTAGGGACTTCTCCCGTATTGACGCTTTATCCGGGCAAGGGAAAGATTTGAGGCATTAATTACTCATGATTGTTTTCGTCAACTTCCTGAAGAAAAGGAGTCCTAGGATTCTGTTCTGGGCGCTAATTAAGATTGCAAAAAAGGCAAAATATTTGAAATGAGGTTATCACAAGAATGCTGAGTTGTGGGCAAAAGTCGGACCACGGGCGGGACTCGAACCCGCATCTTCTGCTTACCGGGCAGTTGCGTTACCACTTACGCTACCGGGGCCACTTTTGACCTCTCAGCTCAATGGCTATTTGTGCCATTGCCTTCGAGCACTCACACGTTCAACGTGATGAGCCGGTTAGCCGATATCGGCAGTGAACCGCAAGGCTGAAGGCTTTTTACAAGTTTTAGAGCTGTTTTTTGTTTGATAACTGCTGTTTTACGCCGCGCATACGAAAGTTATCACAAGAATGCTGAGTTGTGGGCAAAAGTCGGACCACGGGCGGGATTCGAACCCGCATCTTCTGCTTCTGAGAGGTCAAAAGTGGCCCCGGTAGCGTAAGTGGTAACGCAACTGCCCGGTAAGCAGAAGATGCGGGTTCGAGTCCCGCCGTGGTCCGACTTTTGCCCACAACTCAGCATTCTTGTGATAACTTTCGTATCGCGCACTGCGGCGTAAAACAGCAGTTATCAAACAACCGTCTAAATTTAAAAAAAGCCTTTTTCTGGACTAATATCAATTTGAGCAAATGAACCCAGTAGAGCATGAAAAGCTTAAACTCCGACTCTTATAGATTAAAGAGACCGCGCTAGACCACCACCACTTGTAACCGACACTTGTCCAACTTTTCTCATGGAGAAGATAAGGGGAGGGACGGATACCCATGCTAGAGGGAAAAGCCTCGTAACTCATGTTACAGGTCGTTTCAAATATGGGAAGCAGATTTGAGCTTAGCGCCTCAAGGCTCGTTCACCAGTATACACCTCTTCGCAAAAAGGTGGCTTGACCTGTTGACCCGAAAAATTTTCAATACTACAAAAAAATATTTTGGCAAAGGGCCGGTCTACGGAAGCGAATCGTACTGCCGGTAATGTCGTCTGGGGGTTGCAGGAGTGGTGGTGAGCTGAAGCCGAGGCAAGGAGCAGGAAAAAAGCTGCTTCGATTAGGGATAAGAAGTCTACCTATTCTGATGGCTCTTCCCCTAGCATCTACCTTGGCGAGTACCCCTCTCGATCAGCCACCGAAAGCGATTGATGTATTTGCCATTTTCCTTTGCTTCACTTTTGCTTATTGAAATTACTCCATTTTGGTCGTATGGGTACAGTCAGACTCATTTCCTCATTAGCGCGATCCTTTTTTTACCGTCGTACAAAAGAAGGTGCGTGATGAACTTGCACTGATAGGACAGATTCCCCCAAACCACGAGCACGGAGTGTGCTTCCAGTTGCAGCTATGAATCTATCTATAGGCAACGCCGAAGGCCGCTACCGTGCTCTCTAGCACCATTCTGCGTTTTGCGATTGGAATTGACCACTAGGATAGCATTCACACTTCGCGATGACGCGCGACGATGCGCTGTGTCGCGCTGTTGCGCGCGTCGACGCGCTACAATTGCAGCACCAGCGCTACAGACGCAGACGGCTGCGCTCGCGTCTATAGCATTGAGGTGCTTTTGCGATTGTAGCGCTTCGTCTTCGCTCATACACGCACGTTACGGCGCGTTATCGCGAAGCCTGAAGGCTACCTAATGAAACGCGGATGGTTTGAAAAAAAAATTTTTATTGTAATACTCTTCTAAAACGCGCGTTTGAAGTGCAGTAGCTAAAGTTCAGTAGAATTTTTGATAGTAATTAATAGCTAGAGAATTTGATAGAAAAGAATAGTAGCGAGAAGATGTGTGGCGTTATGCAAAGTGAAGCCGTATGTTCTAGATGCTCTACCGAAGCAGACGGCGCGCTCGCAACACACCGCTCGAGATACTCTCCAACAAAAGACAGGTCTTTCTCGTCATCAATCCATCCACGCTTATCCTCCATTTATTTCTCATGCAATCATCTCCCTTGGTTACATTTTAACATCAAATTGAAACTAAATACCAGTTACCAAAACTAATAAACTGGGGATCGGGTGTATGAAATTTTGATTAACAACCAAGTTTATATGCTACTTTTAATTCGATGCTCTATTTTTAATTCGATCGCCACTAGGAATGGCCGGTTAATTCTAATGAAAGTAATAAATGCACCTAATTACTTTTCAGCAAGACCATTGATGTTGTAAATGCTAGATCAGATTATTGTTCGGTGTTTTTTTTCAGCAGGCCGTGGTTTTTCGTAGTACTGTTTGTTTTCCTTTCCTTTTTTACTCATTTGAAATTTTTGGTTATCTGTTTTAGAGGGAATGGTTCCTAGTTATTATTCCTTTTTTGCTTGGACCTTTGCAATCGTTCCGCTGCGTTTTTGGTTCCTATTTTCTGTGGAATAATTAAAAAGCTTATCACGGCGCGCAGTCGGGGCGTGTCAGGCGTGTGGATGAATGAGAGGCGGCGGCTGCGTCTCTGTCAGTAGCAGGGCACGTCCTGCCGATCGATGAATTTTGCAGGATGCTCCCCTCTCCTCCTTAAATGCGGAAAAGTGGGGTCCAAACGCTCATTTTTGTCATCTTGATACTACATTTTCATGAATTTTCACTTTTAGACATGAAGTCCCCTCCGAATAGCAAAAACTTATCGGCGTTCTCATCATGTGCCACACAAATTTTTCGAGTTAGAGAAGAGGCCATTACCTGTGGGCGAGCCCAGTACACCCCCCCCCCCATATCAGAGAGCGACAAAGGGCTTGGCTGCACGCCGATTCTCTTACGCATACGTCTCTGCGTCTCTTTTGAATAGACCCTCGCCCTGTTGCAGCCACGCCTCTTGTGACCTTAGATATGGGCCGCGTCATTATCATGAGGCCAAACTCGTAATTCTGAAAATTTCGGAATTTAGTCGCTGAGATTCATATAACTCAGATCTTGTAATTTCAAAGTGATGCACATAACACATTGCATGTAATTATTAATTGAAGATTCCTTGTCAAATTTGCCCCTTATTTTTCTTTCTTGCATGCTAATAGGTGTGTTTCTCAGCTAACAGTTTCGAGTAATGTTTTTTCCAGGGTCATGCACTGGACGAGATTTTCTTCTGCATTCGAGCCCTGTCAGCAGTACATCCATTTGAGACGGCTCGAGATCGTTTACATGCTCGTCTTGCGGCGATGAAAAGAAAGGTTCGCTACATTCAGGTCTTTCACATAGCTTCTAGGCAGCGTTCGACAGCAGCGCGATCGATCGCGCCGTTTATCGACGCGATCGCGAAGTCTGAACTGAACGCTGCCTCACAGTCCTCATCATTGGGGATTGTCGAGGTCGCAATCAGCGGTTCCCACCTGCGGCCTTCCCACCAGTGGCTGATTCCTTCCTACATCGATCATTGCTCGATCACCATTGGTAGAGCAAGGCAGCCGGACGCGAGCTCGTGCCGCGCTGCGCTCGCCGCCCCCGACAAATTGCAATGTTACAAACTATACATTTCATGACGTGTATTGTGGGCGAAGGTGGTGTAGTGGTAAGTAGCAGTAGTAAGTTACCACGGTCCGGAGATTAAATTCTAGCGGGCTTGATTGGCCCTGGTTCTCGCCGAGGCCGACCAAGCCATCTGTCCTTTACGTAAATTGGTGCCAGAATCGTCGTCGGGAATGATAAGAATACTGAAGAATGTTACAATCGCTACGGCACTCCATACGAGTCAGTGCATAGCCACATCGCATTCAATCCACGAGGACACAACCTCGTTTGGAAACCCGAGATAGGAAGTCGTGTTTTGGCTAGGGAGAGGCCGGAAAAACGGAAGTCGTATTGGGGGAGTCCTCTTCAGCACCGATATGTTTGTCTCTGCGCTGTTTAGGGCGTGTCAAACTGCTTTGTCTTTGTTTGCAGGGTGTATATTTAATGTATAAGCATTTTATTTTAACGAGAAAAGTAGCTTTGGTACTACTGTAGCTAACGCGAAGGTGAAACGAGGATAAAGTCTTCGGCCATTAATCTCTCCACCCTTTCTTGGTGGAGCACGCTCCTACGAAGTCGTAACCCGACTTCATCGACATGCTGACAGAAGCCATCCAGTGAGTTTTATGACTGCAGCCAGTTCCAAAATTCGATGTTTCTTATTATCCCAGACAAATGTGGTACCAGTTTACCGTACCCGAGGGAAGGAATGCTTTGTTGACCTGGGCGTGAGCCGATCGGGAATTTAATACCCGTACTGTGCACATGGTAAGCCTTCCATTTGCTGCTACACGCCTCTTCCCGGAAAGAAATTGATTTTTTTATTATTATCATTCGTGATACCTCAGGGTTCTTATCGGTAACCTGGTGAACCGGTCTACCTTCGGCCGCTTGATCAACTAAAGCCTGCCATTATAATCTGGGGCCTCATGCCATTTTGAGTGTGATTTTCTAAACCGGTCATTAGGCGGGGCGAGCAGATGTACACCTCAACATGTTTTCATCACTCATGAAGGCCTCTGGTACGCAATCATCGCTCGGTATGAATGAAGGTTGATTGTTTGGCATCTGTGTGTGCGCCAAGCCAGCTATTGTTTTTCCCAGCTATTAATTCTATGGGAGGAAAAGTGATCATGAAGAGCTGTGCCGTTTTTCTTCACGAAATACTGAAAGGAACTTATCCTCAATCACTTCCAATTTCTGCTTAACTGTTTTTCTTTCCTGAACTGATGCAAGTTGTGCGAAGATATTTTGTAAGATCGTTTGATTCGTAGTCGACTTATAGCGTGGACAAGTTAGCAACACTTCTGATGTATGAGATGTGTGAAGTTGGCGAGAAGAGCGAAATTAACCGCGACATTAGGCAGTGACTGATCGACCAGTAGCAAAATATGGCCTTAGACACGGAAGGGCACGAAAATTGGACCGATAACGTGTTGAACCGTCTTCCCAGTCATTTCTTGATCAACACCGAAATGCTAGGTGAGTCGCAGTCCTGTTTCATTCTCTTTCTTCAATCGGCTGCCATTTAGCTATCTGCTCCGGTATCACCGCGGCCGAAATGACTTAGTTTTTAGAGCCTCAACTTATTTTGATCGTATCGATTTCATCACTCAAATCCAATTATGAATTTGTTCATTTCGGCTGACTATTTCGTAGTAATCAACAACCTGTTGACTTTACCTGATAACTGAAAATTGGATATGGAGTCGTTCCCGGAGGTAACATTACAGAATTAACTAGCTTATTTTGGCTTCATATTTTCTTTGACTGACTTATCCTTCACTTTTGAGCTTAACCGCCCTCCCCTATACACACTTTTCTATTCAGTGTCTCGGAGCGAGCCATTGCCCAACTAGCCGCTTTGGTAGAACAGGAAGTTTCACCGGTTTCAGCTGGACAGCTTGTACAAATCGCTGCACTCTTCATTTATGCAGTGCACTGTAATGGGATCGTTGGTGAGTTGTTTACTGTTCTGTAATTACTGCCCCTTCCTATTGCTTACTACCGAGATTATGAGATGAGGTTCTATCGTGCAAGGTTTTTAAAGAAAATCGCCCATGAGTAGATGCGTGTGATGGGCGGCGTGGCTAATATTGATATGGCCATCGTAAGGTCAGCTGATGCGCCGCTTTTTCTGCTTTCTTTTCGAATAGCTTTGGCGAGCCAAGTCAGTTGGGCTTGGTGTGCACCAAAAATGATACACAGACAGAATTTTGTGCAGACCATCTTGTGAGGTTTTGGAATTTCCAATAATGAGAGGCTTATTTGCACCACTTTGGCATTATTAATTGAAGAACCTGTGAATGTTCCTAAATATGTAATTTAATGCTTAGTATTTGATGCTGATAGGAATTGTGTAATATTGAAACTGCTTCAGGAGAAGAGGACGTGTGCAGCGTTCAGCAGCAGCAAGCAGTTCACGCTCTTGTCAGTGTATTTGGAGTGTTTTTACGTCCAATAGCTCTTCGAGTTGATGAAATCGATTCATGGGTCAAGGGTTCCACTGAAGTGCCTTTTGTGGTATGTTCGGTTGATTGTGTTCTAATTTTTGCTAGTTAAGTTTTTCTAATGTGAAAGGTGCGGTGATTATGACGCTGGCCCCTGGCGAGACGGCAGTCGCCCCCGCCCCGTAGTTTGAGCCCCGCGTGAGTTTCATTTCGTTGCATAAGCGCGGTATTCGTACTTCCAAGGTAGCAATGGGACACGCACAAAAAGGTTGTGCGCATGTTTTGGCTTGCAGAAATATTTATCCGAGCAGGGGGCAGTCGTGATGCTGTACCGCACATTTCGAGTGTCTACCGCTCCCATTTTACGAACTCTTTATCTATTTATTTATTTATGCGCGAAGCGCGAAAAAAAATTTAAATAAAGCAGTTTAATGAACAAGTATACATCCAAGCGTTTAGGCAAATGATTCAGGCAGCATAAACTAGAGAGAGAATTGTCAAGTAGTAGGTATGAAATCCTCTGAATCAGATTAGCGTTTGATAGATGGCACGTAGCCACAAAAAAAGAGGGATTTACTAGATGGATGGTTCATACTTTGCGTCACAGTTTTGAGCGTTCTGAGTGTACACCAGATCCTCGAGAGACAAGGAAAATGTAGAGATCAGCGCCTTGAAGCCAAGCAGCAATATACTACATTATTTTTATACCCTATACCTATACTATATCCAACTCTTTCGTAATACTCGAAACGCTTGTGTTCGACACGTAGAGCTCTCTACTCGCTAATAAGGCAGCGTTCATACTTCGCGACAGCAGTGACGATCGCCAGTACTGGTCAGAGCGCACCCCAAGGTTATTACTTGCACCGCTCCGACTTTGCTGAAGAGGAGGCACTCCTGTTTTTTTTTATTTCCTTTCAGTTGCAATTGACTCAGGTACTAGAGTTCGTTTTGACTCAAGGAAAGGTGAATGAATGGCTTTTCTTTTCTATTTTCTTTTTTGATTCAGGATAGAAATGAGCAAAAAGCAAGCAAGCTTAGTGTAAGTTTCTTATTGTTCCTTTTTCCATTCTTCGAGCTTATACATAATCTTATGAAGTTTCCTCCTCCTGGATATTGCATAAAAGTTTGATTGGCTAGGTAAATTCCTTTCTGTTTCTTTTTTTCATTGTTTGAACTCACTTTGGCCAGTAGGAAAGTTTCAAGACACTTATATAAATTGAAACAATGAAAACAAAAGAAACAAAGAGAAGCTCACCTATTAAATGAAGTTGCACTTATCCCGGCCTAAATAAAAGGTGAAACCATCTCCTCCCTTATATTCCAGATCCTCTTAGGTAGAGAAAGTCCTCAGTTTCCAGCTAGTAGCCATTATTAAGAGAAAAAAGGTATTACAAGTTGGATTTCCTTATTTATCAAAGCGAGCGGTCCAAGTAATAATGTTGGGGCGCGCTCTGACGCATACCGACGATCGATCGCCACTGCTGTCACGAAGTATGAACGCTGCCTAACACCGGTGCGGTAGCGTACGCTCAAAATGATGGGTCGATACTTATGCTTTCCTTGTTGCTCAGAACGCTGACGCGTAGTACGAGCGCACCCTTGGAATTGATCATAGGGAGCGGTGTTCATAAGCGACTTGCAACAAATGGGGAAGATACCGCCCGCACCAACTGCCATGGTGCCCTTAATGCGATATACGGGGTCTGGTAGTATTCCAGCACTTCGGGTACAGGTATACCGACAATCCGGCGTGGAACCGGCAGTGTGGCCATAAGCACTACCGCACCGCCACTAGGCTTTGGAGTCAGAACTGGCGTACTCACTGAGCGCAACAGTTCTAAATATTTATTTCGCAGCACTATTTCGCTATGCTTCTAATGTTCAAGGCTTTTGTTTTCAAGAAAAACGCACGAAATCTGAATACGGAAATTCAACCAAATTTACGTCGAAGAAATTCAGTCGTGCTTCTAGCTTCTGATTTAGCCGTCCCGATTGATAACTAAAAGAATATTTAGGTGTCGCGTGTTCTGCCAGCTGTTTGTGTACTTTGCGAATGGTTTTCCTGTCCTTTGGCGTCGGCAATTTATCAAACGATGCCGTCGGTTGAACCATTACCGCTGTCGATTGTCGACATCGACACCTGGCAGCTACTTGCGAACATCGCCAATGAACTGGCTCGGCTGCAGGATGGTGGTGAAATGGTGAAGATAGAAAATAATGCAGGTATGGCATGAAGAGATGTTTGGGAGGAACTTGAGCAGAAGGATGGGATACGGTAACCAGGCGTACATCTTAAAACTTTCAGGCTCTGATAAAGCGTGTATCCTACCTGAATTGGCATATTTGTCGTCGTTCTCGAGTGTATTTCCATCGATTCCACGAACACTTCATTATGTCGATGCTAACAACGAAACTGCAGACTCGGTAAGTGCCCACAGTATTTTTTAACCTCAAGTCACATTATTTCCGTTTTACAATTCTATCTCTCATTTCGAATATGCTGTAGGAAAAGTTCATCCTATCACTTCTGCGCGGACCTCAGTGCGCGGCGCATACCAAAGTCAGCGTGATCGGCGCTAAACGAACCATATCCTGCTCCTGCTCCACCACAGGATACGTTCTACATGCGTTCCTGGCTATTCGAACACGCTCACTTGAAACGGTGCACAGGAAACGGGTTTTTCGCGCGGCTGGGAGTGCTCCCTAAGAAATCCCCATCGCGAGATCTCATGAATCCCGAGAGCTTCAGGAACAGTTCAATAGGTTTTTAGAAAGAGAAAATCTTGAGAAGCTCGGATCCGTTCTCAGATTTGTGAAATGTTGAGTTACAAAAAAATATATTGATTCAAACCTGTTCAACTTGAACTTCAACCCTTCACTCCCCAACGAATCCCTATGGCAGATTTCTCTGTGATTTTCGCGACCTTCATAAACATTTTAGTACTTTCAGGAAGACCAAACCTTCTAATTTACCAATACGCTCTCCTCTTCCCCACAGGTCCGCTTTTGAGGAAGTTATGGTCCTTCAAAGACACCCTACTTTGCTGAAAATTCTCGCTCCATGGCTAATAGCCGTTTGCTCCAGTCACGGCTGCAATTACGTACGCATCTCTGCTACCGTACTCCACATCTCGGGGTTAATGCATTTTAGGCGTATTTCTTTTTTGTTTTCTTTTTCTGTTATACCGCTTTTTGTTTTTTGGTTTTAATCATAGTCTCATTTAACTCGCATTTATGCTGTGTGTATGCTACTCATCGTGTTTTGATACAAACGCTTGTACATAAGTAAATCAAGTCAATTTAGGTAGGACTGTTTATATCTATTTTTTATATCTAATTGTTTATATCTAATTTCAGGAATTATGTGACGTCAAACAGTAAAAGGGGGGCGGGGGATCGTACCGAACCCCCAA